TTTATGTAAAGGAACAGAGCACCACAAGTGAGCTAGCAAAGGAACTATGTTTTTTACAGCATAAAAATGACAGCACTATCAGCGCACAGGGTGCTCCTGAGACAAATTAGTTTGCTGGAACCACAATGTACTTACAATGCATTACCTTGTGTCAGCATCAGAATATATATATATATATACAGTGGTACTTTGGGTTACAGATGCTTCAGGTTACAGACGCTTCAGGTTACAGACGCTTCAGGTTACAGACTCCGCTAACCCAGAAATAGTACCTCAGGTTAAGAACTTTACCTCAGGATGAGAACAGAAACTGTGCGGCGGCAGTGGGAGGCCCCATTAGCTAAAATGGTGCCTCAGATTAAGAACAGTCTCAGGTTAAGAACGGACCTCCAGAACGAATTAAGTTCTTAACCCGAGGTACATATATATATATATATATATATATATATATATATATATATATATATATATATATATATATATAATATCAGACTGTCTCAGTGCTAGGACCAATAATTTGAAAGCTGTACAGGCTATGATCTATTAATGAGAACTGAGATTATTTTTATTGTGCTTTATCTTAAGGCTGGTTGGGCCCCTCCCCAATCTTTTGTGGCTTTTTGCCATTGTTCACAGTCACTTGGCTGCAGATTTGACAGCTGTTTCTTTCCTTCTCAAGCAATCCCAGGCCACCAGTATCATATATTTGGATCTGAAGACATTGGAATGGTATGTGGTATGTGGACACTCAACATTTGATTATTTCAGGGTTTCCCAAGCTTGGTTCTCCCACTGTTTTTGGACTACAACTCCTATCCTCCTGAGCTAGCAGGACCAGTAGTCAGGAATGATGGGAACTGCAGTCCAAAAACCTCAGGAGACCCAAGTTTGGGAAACACTGGGCTATTTGTTGATAGATTAAGGGCAACTAAAACCTATCTAGTGTAAGAGCAGGTGTTTAGCTGAACTACAATTCCCATAATCCCTGGCCATTGGCCATGCTTGCTGGAGCTGATGAGACTTGTAGTTTTCCGGAGGGCCAAAGATTCCCCTCACGGGAAAATCCAGTCCAGAGGTACTCTCAGAATAGAGTGGTACCACTGTATAAGGAAGCTGCCTACATTCCTGGGTTGATGCAGAGATAAAACAGAATTTCCCACTTCCAGAGGAGGATCGCCTGCTGTACCTCTGCATGTCATTATACTTGTCTCACCTCCTTCCAGTCGAGAGGTACTCTCAGAATAGTGTCTCACACAGAAACAGAGTGGGAGAAGTGAGGTCAGCCAGAGCCCCTCGTGATCTTAAATTGGGGCCATCTTTTATAAAGTTAGTTATTCCCACATGGGATTTCCAGGGCAATCCTAGCCCATCCTTACAAATGATCAGCTGTCTGGAAGTGAGTTCTTTTGCAACAATGACTGGGAAATGACTGAAAGGACGAGTGCAGTTTTAAGTGTATATTTAAAATGCATGCATCATATCAGGTTCCTGCCTCAAGCATTGGCTTAGCAACCGCCTCGCTTGCAATGATTCATCCTGCCTTTTGAACTGTGGAGGTTATCAGTCCCTTGCAGTGTGCTGTGAGTACATCTGTGTGCCAGACCCTTTATACATTGTCTCTTAGGCTGTTATAAAGTCGTCCAAGTGGGCACCGACTGCAACAAATGAAATAATTGAATTAGCATGGGCTAAGGGCTGCTTATTACACAGTGGTGGTGGGCATGCACAAACTGGGTTCCTCCCAAAAACCTGCTGAGCATTGAAAGCCTTTCTAGTCAATGTTTTCAAATCCTCTGGGAAGTCGTCTGGGAAACATTTGCTCAGTTCTCAAGAGGGCACAAGCTCTGGCCAATCCTGCACCCCCTGCTACTCTCTCTTCCTCACAGCCAAAGAGGGGAAAAAAGCTTTGCCTTGGTGCAGATGATAGTCATTGTTGTAGTAGATGTCCATACGCTTCATTGTAGGAAGAAGAGCTCCAACCTCAGGAAAGGTAAAGGGACCCCTGACCATTAGGTCCAGTCACAGACGACTCTGGGGTTGCAGCGCTCATCTGGCTTTATTGGCCGAGGGAGCCGGTGTACAGCTTCCGGGTCATGTGGCCAGCATGACTAAGCCGCTTCTGGTGAACCAGAGCAGCGCACGGAAACACTGTTTACCTTCCCGACGGAGCGGTACCTATTTATTTACTTGCACTTTGACATGCTTTCGAACTGCTAGGTTGGCAGGAGCAGGGACCGAGCAACGGGAGCTCACCCCGTCGCGGGGATTCAAACCGACGACCTTCTGATCAGCAAGTCCTAGGCTCTGTGGTTTAACCCACAGCGCCACCTGTGTCCCTCAGGAAAAGGCAGTGCTTTTTTCCTTTTTAAAAAAAAGTTTATGGGTACTCTCATTTTGACTCAAGAAAATCACCATTTTATAGTTGAAATCGGGAAAAATAAATACAGTAAATGGACAAAAGTACAAAGATTCACAAAATGTTTAGGGGTATGCGCACCCCTGCGTACCCCCAGGAAAAAAGCACCAGGGAAATGTATGGCATAATGTCTTTTCCTACTAGGAATGGTGGGCTGAATTATAAGTCCTACCATCCCTGGCAAAAAATAATGTTTGAAATGTCATTTCCAACCCTAAACCACCTCGGAATCTCACTTGAGAATGCGGGGGTTGTAGTTTAGCTCTAACATCCCCAGTGGGAAAAGACATCATGAGTGTGTCTTTTCTAACCGGCTGAGAGGCCTAAGATGGGCCTCTTCTCTTGGTCAGCTACCACATTCCCCTTGGTGAGGTTTCTTCCTCTTCTGGAGTAGGAGGGAAGCAGACAGCTGGACGGGTGTGACCAAACAAAATTGAGGCATAGATTTACTCATTGAGCCCTGTGGCCTCTCCTCAACCATGCACTCTTTCAATGGCCCTGCAATGGACATTGTACACTAGGGGTGGATCTACACATGGGGGGGGGGCAATGCTATAAATAAGTCAGAAATTAGATCATTATAACAAAAGAAGAAGAAAAAACCTATGGAAAATAAGTATGAAAATTTCCTGCTCTTTGGCGCCATCTGGTATTATAGAGCATTCAAATCGTTGTTTCTTTACTAATGTAGCTGAGTCCTGGGGTGGTGGTGGGGAAGTCTGGTTCAGTTTGCAATTTAATGTGAATCTTTCGCAATTTGCACTTTCTGAAACAATATATACAAACTGACCCACAAGTATCCTTCAAAATCAGCACTTCTCCAAATTTTGAAATGCCATTCTTAACCAAAACCTGTACAAATATGTGTATACAGATATGTATAAAATGTGTGTATTAGTGAAAACTGCATACTAAAATGCGTTATCACTTTGCAGAAAAGTATATTAGAAGAAATATGTTCTAAAACGCCAACAAACTTTCATGAGAACCAAAAGAAAAAATTCAAACTGATATGGAAATGTGGTAAACTGAACTTAAGGTTGGAAAAATTAGAAAATGAGAGAAGTCAAAACTGATAAATTTGTCCGTCTGCATTTACACAGAGAAAAACCCAGAGAACTGCAGCCAATCAGAGGGTGGATCTACACACAGGGGGAAAACCATTATAAATAAGTCAGAAATTAAATCGTTATAACAAAAGAAAGAAAGAAAAACCACTATGTAAAAACCATGCAGAATTTTATTTTGCTCTCTGGCACCATCTGGTGTTGCATGTTTATAACGAATTCAAAATGTTTTGTTTTTTTTTGACTACTGTAGCTGAGTTCAGAACTTTCTGATAAGAGTTCCTTCAAGGGAGATATTTGGAGGCGTACAGTTAAAACACCTTACCTTAGGTCAAAAAATGCAATGTTGAAATGGTCCCAAATACACAGAACTAAAGACAGAATTAAAGTGGGCAGTTGCTATATTGCTGCTTGCACATGTAGGATGCTGTCTTAAGAGCTGCTTAGACTCACACTTTTATATGTTGTCAGTTTGCCTGCCATAAACACCTGAACTAAATTTCAGCATTATGAAAAGAGCCATTTCATGAAATAAGTAATCTCTTTCCTTTAAAAAAAAGGGGGGAGGGAGGGTAACTCATTGCCAGTTATAATGAGATGTCATCTAGGAACATTAAGATATAAGCGAATAGCTCTGATTAAATGACAAAGAACCAAGACGGCGATGAGCAAGAAGAAAAAGCGGGAAAGTAGTTTCAGGAACTTCCAGAAGCTTCTAGGAGCTTCCCACTTACAAACCTAGGAAGATGGTGAATGCTTTCCTCCAAGCATGAAGAAAACACACTCTGGCCATGTCTACTGCCCAGGGGAGCAAGAGCCATTGCATGCAAGGATTTGGTGAATGTGTGTTTTATATTACAATCTAAGGTGGGATATAAATCTGAACATACCAAAAAGATTGTCTAGCTGATGCCGCCTGGTGAGGAGACTTGGCTCAAGGGATAGTACACCTTGCCAGTGAAAACAGGGAGACATAGACAGAATTTGGTAGCCTCACTAACCACTGACATTCCAATGAGATCTGGAATAGATGGCAGGTTTGCCATGTGATCCTTTATCCTAGGCTTGAGAAAAGGACAAAAGAAAAGACCGCAGAGCATTTTCTCACATACCATCGGTGAATAATCAAAGGCACCTGCAAAAAAGATGCCTCTGACACAAATTTGGTCTCCTTTTTTCTCTCCTTTATTGTAGAAGAAACAGGATATTTTAATGCCATCATCATTGCAGAGGTGTCTGTGGAGGGGGTATATTAAATGAAAATGTCCAGTAAGCCAGATCAGTAGTAACAAGGACAAGGCAGGCTGCGGTGACAGTGATGGCTGGCAAATGAGTACTGATTTTAATTTCTGGAATACAGACTTTAGCTGAAGCAGTGTTATTTTTAATGTAAATAAGTTTTTAAGGGAAATTTTAATTACGTCCGCTTCTCCATGTGGATCTGGCATATGTTGCTTGCTGTTCACTTTGCTGTCTGGTCTTTGACCGCAATAAAGACTGATTGATAGATCATGGAAGGGTCATAGCTCAGTGGTAGAACACCTGCTTTGCATGCAGAAGGTCTCGGGATCCATTCCTGACATCTCCAAGTACGGCTGGGTACGTCCCTTGCCTGAAATCCTGGAAAGCCACTGGCAGTCAGTGTAGACAATACTGAACTGGAGTCGGCCTTCTCTGACTTGGTATAAGGCAGCTTTCTACGTTTCAAGTTCATTCTGGGACTCCTGTGGCTTTAATGAGTAAAGGGGGGGGGAGGAAGGTTCAGGAGACACAATTACATGGCAAATTAATCATCTTGTCACAGTCTGAGTCAAGAATGCCCCAGAGTCCTCCCTTCTCTGCACTTGCTTGGCCAGAGGAGGAAAGACTCAACACCTGCCATGGGGATGATAAAGCAATTTACAGGAATTCGTATCATTAGTCTAGTGGTGTGAACGACAGATATGCATGTACTATTTCCCTCCAGCCATCCCTACAGGAGCTTGCGCCAGTTCAGTCTATTTTTGCGTTAACTTTGCTTCTTATCATTAATCCTCATACCGTGTCACCCAGTGCTTTTGAAAGTCTGCACAAATTTCAAGAAGGTGCTGCAATGCAGCATGACTAACTGCTGCCCCAAAACAAGAGGTCTAAAGTCCCCTGTGATTCGTAATTCCTTGTATCCTGACTAAAGTTAAGGAGAATCCTACTTCATCCTGCACTTCTCACCCAAGTTACAAGCACAACTGGGCAAATCTCTCTTTCATCTCATGCAATGCTTTTTTCTTCTTTGTATTACACTGATAATAATTACTATTTCTGGCTTTATTTATCATTAATACTAATTAATACTACTGCCTGCCTCTTTGACAATGTATTTGCAGATGGTAGGCTCTTTCCTACTCATGGAAAATCACCCCAGTTGCCAGAGCAAAAGAGTTGTGTTGCTACTTCCTCCCTCTCCTGTTCCTTTGTCTCCTCCTTCTATGTGCATTGCTCATAAATTAGGATTCATAAAAAGCTTCCCAGTAAACATGGATGAGACATTTAAGCTACTGCTGCACACACCGGTTTTCTTTTAACAAAAACAATGTCTGCAGAACAATATGCACAAAAGCGCTTGGCCTCACTGGGACGTGTATTCTGCCAAATCATTTGCAATCTGGAGACAGTCCCATTCTGAAGCCTATGGGGAAAATTAGGTGCCTACATTATGCCTTTCTGTTTTTCATGTGTTGTCAGAAAACAAAACAAGGCTGGATGTTGTGGGCAGGAGGTCTGCATGTAGACTCTGTCTCTGCCCCTTGGTGGAGATCCTACATTAGAGCTTCAGTTCTATGCCGTCTTACCTGTACTAAGCCCTGTGAACCTACTGCTGCAATCCGTTTTATAGGACTGCACTGTAGTGCTGCAGTACTATATTCATTTATTTTCTAGCTAGTCCTGCTTACCTCAACAAGGCTAACTTTTGAGTAGAGCATAGCAATGCCATCATATCACAACAGCATGGTTTTATTACTCACAATCGTTTCAAGGTTCCCAAGTTGCCCCAGATGCCTGTTCAGTGAAGGGGAAAAAGCTGTCATTCACTAGACTTGCCATATAACCAGCAATTTCTGAAGCAATTGTGAGACACTCATTAAAAATAGACACCTTTGCAGTATCAAGTATACCACTTGGGAGGTACTGAGTGGGCACTGGAACTAACAAGGAGGCTAAAAAATGTTTGCATTTCTTTAACTCCCCGTTTCATCGAACTGGGACTTAAGGCACTTTGCAAGATGCGAATGCAATACAATCACTCTGTCATGATGTGCCAGCACTAAAGTGCCATAATAATGATAATAATTTATTTTAATACAGTACTTGTTAATTTTCAAAGAGTCCTGCACACTAGTTTGGTGAAGGAAGGCTGCTATTGGTCATAGGAATGATAACAGCAACAACATGCTGCAGCAATCTTCCTATGCAAGCATACTAAGAAGTACTATTGAACTCAGCCAGATCTACTTCCAAGGGAACGTGCATAGGATTGTGCTACAGATAGAAAGAGTTGCCATCCATCTAATGCAGTTTCTTCCAACAGGGTTAGCTAGCTTGAAGAAGTTAAAACAAAATAAAATAGTGAGGGGAGTGGGCGTGCTCATGAAATATCCCCTTGGATGATATCTCAGATTGAAAAATGACTCACTCACTCTTTCCATTTACATCTCATCCTACCTCTGCAAGGCATTCTACAGATAACAGAAATGACAAGATCCAGTAAGAAGCTTACAGTTCAATGCATAAAATTTGACACAGCAGTAATGAGAGAGAATATACAGGAAGAGGAACAAGCTGCAGAGTTTGCTTTAGGTTTCTGAAGGCTATTGGGCAAGAAACTCTCCTGGTCCCAATTTAATTCCTACATATGACCAAAGGATGCCCTTTTCAGAATATGCAGCAAGGCGCTACAGCCAATTTAAAAACATCTGATATCAGGAAAGGGCATAACGTTCAGGCAGCAGGTCTCATTCTCTCCTAACAGAATTGCATTGGGGATATGATCTGAGGTCTCTGAGCTCGAACCACTACACTTTACTAGGATTGAGGAGCCACCCACCCACCAAAGCCCAGCGTGACCAACTGATAAGCAGAAAGTTCTTCATACACATTATACGCCCATCACTGAAGACAACGATAACGAAAACTTCAGTCAGCCTCAAAAGCAACTCTTCTCCTTACCACTCACAGAATTTCAAGGGCAGAACAGCAGCTTCACCATGGGGTACCCTCTTTGCAAAAACTTATCCTCTCTTTTCTGATGTTCCTGCTGGCATGTTGTCTATAATGCTGGATGCATTTGCAAATGATGTTTATTATTTCATAAAACACAACTAGACTCTTCTGATACAGTTGACAGCTGACAGCTCTTGTTAGGGATAATCAAGACACGTTTGGACCTTTATAGCAAAGGGTTTGACGGCAAGAAAATGCATAAAACTTGTAGCTGCAAAGTAACACCAAAGTCAATCTTTGCTGAAAACAACATGAATATTCAAGTAATCAATCAGGATTTGATTCCCATCCCTTTTCTTGCTGTCATTGTATTGTTTAGCTTAGTTTTTCAGTTGCTGCTTTGTTACTAATGTTTTATAGTCTGTAATTGTTCTATTGATTTTATATTATTTGTGATGTTCTATTATGTTACTGTTAATTATTGGTTGTAAGCTGCTTTGGGATTCATTTGAATGAAAGGCAGCACAGAAATACAATAAACCACACCAAATCAAATCATTCCACCTCTTAATGAAATCCACAGCAGCAGATTGACTTGCCTTCTGCTGAACACATTATAAGCTGAGTTAATGGTAAATTATGCTTTATTCTCGATGAGGGCTGGGTGCTTGCACAGAATAGAAGCTAGCTTCTCCATCCAGGCCACACCTGAGTCAGCTCTCCAGGAGGTGGCCTTTGGGGTTCATAGCTATTTCTTTTAAAGGGGCCATTACATACATTAACATACATTACATAGGTAAAGGTAAAGGGACCCCTGACCATTAGGTCCAGTCGTGGCCGACTCTGGGGTTGCGGTGCTCATCTCGCTTTATTGGCCAAGGGAGCCGGTGTACAGCTTCCAGGTCATGTGGCCAGCATGACTAAGCCACTTCTGGTGAACGAGAGCAGCGCACAGAAATGCCGTTTACCTTCCCACCAGAGTGGTACCTATTTATCTACTTGCACTTTGACGTGCTTTCGAACTGCTAGGTTGGCAGGAGCAGGGACCGAGCAACGGGAACTCACCCCGTCGCAGGGATTCAAACCACCGACCTTCTGATCGGCAAGTCCTAGGCTCTGTGGTTTAACCCAGAGCATCACCTGCGTCCCAATACATTACATAGGTCACACCAAAAGATTCTGGCTGCTAGTTTGCATGGGAGATTGTTAGCAAAGGGGAGCCAGTCAGCAGTCTCTGGAGTCCTTCAAATGCCCAGCCCCATTTGTTGTAGATGCTGACTGTGTCAGGCTACAGCTACACAAAAGTAAAACACAAATCATTTCCCGTTGTATTTTATTTGCCTCTTTACGTATATGCTGAATGACATAACCAAAGTGAAGTTGGAAGTGCATAATCAGGGCTGCATGGGGTAAATGCATCTATCAACACTTGTGATAACTGTCAGTTGATTTTATTCTCAAAATGTGTACCCTGCTTTGTTTGCTAGTCCAGAGTGGCTCGCCTTAATGTGATGCTGTCATACAGAGGCAAAACAGCATCTGATTAATTTGTTTTGTGGGCCACTCCGCTTCCTATATTGCTGCCAGCTCCCTGAGTATGATAATTCAGTTAGAAAGGCATACTTAAGTCTAGCTTTAAATGGAGAACTCAGACTTAGCAGATGTTCTCACATTGCTGGAAGGACGGAAAGAGGAGAGGGCGTGCCCAGGCAGGTAGGAGAATATATAGCTATGCCCTTCCTCTGTCAAGGCACCATGGGAGTGTCTCTCACAGAGTTCTCTCTAGCAAACTTACAGGAAAACTCTGCGAGCTTCAGGTCCTATCATGTGCCTATCTAGCAAAACATGAATTGTTGGTTTGGCTGCATTTTAAATACCCCATAAGCATGCTGATTCAGAGCATGATCACTCATATGATGTAGCCCATGTTCAGGTGTAGACTGGGGAGAGATTGCCAAGTCTGGTCATGGTGGGCAACACATGAACAGCCACTCCCCACTCTGCCATCAGGCAGCCCTCTTGTAATATTTTCCCATAGCTGTCAACTTTCAGATTTGAAAATAAGGGATCAGCAGCCTCACCTGTCCCGGGGACAGTCTACGGGATATCTAACAATCCAGGATAGCAGTGGGAAGCAGCAGGAAATGACGCTGGAATAAGGGGATTTCCCGCAAAAAAAGGGAAGGTTGACAGCTATGTTTTTCCTTACTGATTGTTATTTGTTGTTTATATTGTGCCATCAGTCTATATGGTACTATTACAAAGTAACATACAGTGACAGGTCCCTGTCTCAAGGAGCTTACATCTGAATTTTGACCATGGTGGAGAGAGACAACAGAGGAAAAGAAGAGGAGGAGAACAAAGGGTAGCTGACAATCAGTATGTGCAGAT